TGATGATGTGGCAATAGCAATCAATATGTAAAGTCATGTCAATCCTTAAGCCATATCCCCATGAACCTAGAACTATGATTTTGAAATAGGACAGTAGCTATCAATAGGAAGGCATAGAATAGCCTTTCTTGACATGAAAGACAACTTGTACATGATGTCAAAAATCAATGCTGCAGCAATGGCAATATGTAAAATCATATCAATTCTTTCACCTCATCCCCATAACCTATACAGAGTCAAGGACACTACATGTGATACATATCATCATCATTATCTATTTTTGGTAATGAAAGTGCCAGGGAGCCTAATGAGAAGTAATGAAATCATCAAGGTGCTCAATGAAATATCCTAATGAAAGTGCCAAGAAGCCTAATGAAATATTCTAATGAGAATTCCATTAAATGGTAATGAAAGAGTCAAGGAGCTGAATGAAATATCCCAATGAAAATTCTAAGAAAATCTAATGAAAGCCTAATGAAATATCCTACTGAGAACTGTAAGAAATGGTAATGAAAGGGTCAAGGAACATAATGAAATATTCTAATGAAAAAATTCAATGAAATGGTAATGAAAGGGTCAAGGAGCCTAATGAAATATCCCAATGAAAACTGTAAGAAATGGTAATGAAAAGGTCAAGGAACCTAATGAAATATCCTAATAAAAAATTCTAATGAAATGGTAATGAAAGGGCAAGGAGCCTAATGAAATATCCCAATGAAAAATTCTAAGAAATGGTAATGAAAAAGCGAAGGAGCCTAATGAAATATTCTAATGAAAATTCTAAGAAATGGTAATGAAAAAGCGAAGGAGCCTAATGAAATATCCTAATGAAAATTCTAAGAAATGGTAATGAAAAAGTGAAGGAGCCTAATGAAATATTCTACTGAAAATTCTAAGAAATGGTAATGAAAAAGCGAAGGAGCCTAATGAAATATCCTAATGAAAATTCTAAGAAATGGTAATGAAAAAGCGAAGGTGTCTAATGAAATATCCTAATGAAAATTCTAAGAAATGATAATGAAAAAGCGAAGGAACCTAATGAAATATCCTAATGAAAAGTCTATGAAATGGCAATGAAAGGGCCAAAGAGCTTAATGAAATATCCTCATGATATCTCATTATCCTTGCCTATATCTTATGAAAGATTCTAGTGATAAATTGAATGAAATAGATGGGCAATCCTAATGAGATGCCTTTCATAAAACCTGTGGCAGTATACACATTGCCTCTTGGACAGTTGTCATAGATTAATCATAAAAGTGGTAGCCACCAGTCTTCATTCCACCATGGCAACTGTTTCATTTTTTGCTTTATTCTTCTGTTTCATTCATTCCTGGCAACTGTTTCATTTTTTTTTTCATTCATTGCCATGGAATTTTCATTTCATTCTTTCCAGGCAGTTATTTCATTTTTGTTTCATTCTTTCAGGCAACAATTTCGATGTTTTAATACACATCTAAATAAGGAAATAATATACAATCATGCCTGATATGTGTTGTGCCCTACTGCAGTGGTGTGGGAGGCCATATGGGGGTACTTTTGCATTTGAGGCTCAAATACACAACAAGATAGGAATGCTGTTGCCAAATAAGGCACTTAAATATTTTGTATCAATTACATAATCATTTTCCCAGCTCTAACAATGAAATAGGCACCTGAGAAGAATGAAGCAAGGAATGAAACAGTTGCCATGATGGAATGAAATAAAAAAATGAAACATTTGCCAGGAATGAATGAAACAGAATAAATTATCTAGAATGAAACAGGTGCCATGAATGAATGAAAATTCATTTCATTTCATTCATGGAAGCTGAGCAGGAACTTCTATGGTACAGCTCAGGAGTACATGATGTAAGTGGTAGCTACCAGTCCATAAATTTCGTCGTCACTGGGATTCCGAACAATCCTAACCTTGTTCAGAGCTTTCGCACCAAGATAATACTCCTGAGCCACTTTGTGAGTCGAAAATCCCTGATAATGAGCATCTGGAACATGTTTGACAAGAGGTAGGACATTATCCCTGATAGGATGAGAAGTAAGTGGGCGAAAAACTTCAGTGAGAATGAGGACAGTAGCCTTACCACTCGTCATAATATACTCCGGTGCACTTGCCAACTAGAATGCCGTAGTATCTCTTCTTTATGGGACTAGACATCCCGGACTCGGAAGCACTGAGTGGGACAGTCCTTAATGCAAGGGGACTCCTGAAATGACCATTCATAGAGGTAGTGCCAATTGCGGTAACGTTCGCTGCAAGACCACTGTTCGGAATGGAGAAGGTTGATGTTGTCGTCGATCTGGAACTTGGGTGGTTCTCGCAGCAAGTGAACCAATGGGAGTGGGGTTGGTCGATGTTGAGAGACCTGCGAAAGCAGAGGCCAGATTCTGGACCTCAGAAGATGGGTCACGCCCATCAAGGGAAGGGTCATTTCGAGAGTTTGTTGAGAGACTCGCAGTAAGCGAGCCACTGGAAGTGGGGTTGGCCAATGTTGAGAGACCTGCGAAAGCGGAGGCCAGATTCTGGACCCCAGAAGACGGGTTGCACCCATCAAAGGAAGCGTCATTTCGAGAGCTGGTTCGAGGTTGTCGAAAACGCGAATGGCCGAGGTGACGAAGGAGGTGTGTGAGATTGCAATTGGGTTCTGAAAAAATCGAATCACCAGCAGATCGAAGGTCATCTTGGCTGTTGCCAGCACACTTGACATCAGCAATCACAGCTGAAGGTCGAGCTGTGTTTGCAGCAGGCTCATCTGCGAGGCAGTGCAGGTTCTTGCAAGAGTTGCAGGTGCTCGGTACTGGCCTTGTGGCCCAGTTGATGGGAGGCGGTGCCATTGCACTACCTCGATGTTCAGGCGAATCTATATGCATGTTAGAATTTGCAAGAGGAGGGAACATAAGCAATACTTGCCCTTTTGTCCACTCGCCATTTCTTTTGTAGTGAGGAGCAGAAGCAGACTTGTTAGTGTAAGAACAAGGTGAACAAATGGCAAAGTCCGAATGATGCTTGAAAAACAAATAAAACGGTGATCAGAAATCATGTGATTTACATAAATGATAAAATCTGACCTGAGGGCACCACGTAACTGGAACATTCTTTCTAATTCATCATACCCCCCTCCCGTATTCACCGAACATGACTCGCACGACATGGACCACGGACAATCAAAGAGAGTGGCTAGAACAATGTAAGGCCGCCTTCATTGAGGCCAAACAGAAAGGCACCGCTGCTCTCAAGGAGTTTTACCCTGGAACCTTTGCGTTATTTCAAGAGAAATGGCCAATGGACCCCGTGACCAGTGACAAAGTTACTGCTGCAGGATCCACTGAGCTTGCGACTAAAATCAAACGTGACAAGAATGACAAGGCATGCCAGTTAGTTTCTGCGATAAAAGATGTGACTGATTGACGGACATAGCGCCTGAGGGAATGGTTTCATAATAATACAGGGATACTATCTGGGCTGCGTCACAGTAGTCCCATCCTCAAGATAAAGCCAAAGCCGAAAATGCTTCAAGAATGGCAAGCATATCACGCCTTAACATATACCAAGCAATGGAAACCATATGTCGACAATGAATGGGAGACTTACAAGAAGGAGTGGGAGGCTGTGAACCCAAATGAGAAGAAACCTCCTAAGAGTAGGCTCCAGATCATGGTTGAATTTATCAATACTTTCCATTCCTCCACTGATTCTTACCAGATTCTGTGGATTCCAGCCGGAATCCAGGAATTCTGGAGGATTCCAGGAATTCTGGAGGATTCCAGGAATTCTGGAGGATTCCAGGAATTCCAAAGGAATCTGACTGGAATATGCAGGAATTTAACTGGAATAGGCAGAAAATCTCATTATTTAAGTTATAAATCAGAATAGATCAGCACTGAGCTAGAGACTTAATCTGCACTAATTCAACTCCTCAACAGACAAATTTTCTTATAGAATTCACACCCAGTCAAGTCATAGATCTCAGTAGAACAAATTTTAATGTATTTCATTGAGACATAAAATCTATTTTACTACAAATTCACACCAGGTCAAACCATGAGATCTCAATTAAAATTGAGACATAACATACAGTGCATAGCAATGGGGGACAAGGAAATGGGAAGGACAGGGAAAGGTGTACAAGGAAATGGGGAGGGACAGGGAAAGATGTACAAGGAAATGAGCATGGACAGGGTAGAGGGAGGGAAAAGGAAGGGGGGAACGATGAAAAGGGGAAGGGGGAAGGGGCAAGGGAATGTAGAGGGACAGACAGGAGGGTAAGGGTGGAGGGAAAAGGGGAGGGTGGAGGGAAAAGGGGAGGGTGGAGGGAAAAGGGGAGGGTGGAGGGAAAAGGGTGAAGGGAAAAGGGGAGGGTGGAGGGAAACGAGGGACAGGGAAGAGGGCCGTTGACGTGCATGTCATCCGCTGACATCATCGTCGTCATCTGCTGACATCGTCGTTGACGTTGTCCGTTGACGTGGGTGTTGTCCATTGACGTGGGCGTTGACCGTTGACATGGGTGTTGTCTGTTGACGTTGTCTTGACATGGTGGCGGTCCGTTGACATGGGGTGGTCCATTGACGTGGTTGTGTGTGTCGTTGTGGGCCTGTCGTTGTGGGCCTGTCATCTGTTGGCATGGCCCTCTGTTGACGTGGTGGGGCGTGTTGTCGTGCGTGGTCGTTGTGGTCATGTGTTGATGGATAGTGTTTAAAGGTTCAGTCCATAGGACCGCAAAAAACCGGTAGACCGAACTGAACCAGACCATGGTCCGGTCTTTTTTTTGGTTACAGTTGCCCCAATTTGGGGTTGGTCCAGTTGCCGGTTGCCTCATTTCGAAAATCTTTTAAAACCATTCAAAGACCGGTTTTAATCGGTTGCAACCGGTTAAACGGTCATGTGCGTTACATAGCCTTGTAACGACGTTTATTACCTTTTATTGGGTTTTTGTTTCATCAAAAACGGTTAAGAATTGAGAAAGATATAACCAAATCCATATTTTACCTGAGTCTCTATGAGATGTAATTCGGTTTCAGTCATAGCTATGTCAAATCTTCATTAAATCTCTTGAAAACTGGTAGAATGACGGGTATTTATATGCTTTACTATTTTATATAACTCGTTTATTTTTCAGAGTAATAATGGTTGAGATACAAATGGTTTATATTGGTATAATAAATTATATGCAAAAAAACCGGTCTGGATCGGTCTGAACCGGTATCATGGACCGCAAAAGACCGGTCCTAGGTGGTTCGGTTCGGTTCCCTCAATATCTGGGTTGGTCCTGGACCGGTTGCGGTCCACGGTTGCGCATTTTCAGGGCAAAAAACCGGACTGAACTGAACCTTTAAACACTACCAGTAGCACAGTACCTCCTGGAACTCTTGCTCATCCTTCCAGAGGAGATTCGCCACTACAGAAGAATCTCTGGTAAAAGATGGAGGCCGTATCTTCAGCACCTTGTCAATCCATTGCCCTGTTCGGCTGGGGTCAAATGACAGGTGTTCTTTTGCATACATGGTGGACAATGAGAAAGAATAGTTTGATTCAACTAGGATTAGGTAATGCAATGGCCTCGCACATGACCCCGGCATTTATAAATTCTTTGGTGGCCTGGAAGGCCAGTTCTTTCCACATACTGATTTGCCCCTCGGCAAAGCATACATGTCCTGGCTTGTCTGGCACCAAGTCCCTCAGCCCAGCCCACTCCCTTGCTTTGTTGATGAAATAGAGGCGGGTCCAGTTCATTTCGTTTGGGATCAAGAGATGCTCTTCTGACCACCGGTCATATTGAGCTTTTGCTCTGAGCCAATTCACCCGATATACTTTGATTTGTCTGGTTTTAATTCATGCAGAGTAATAAAAGTGACTGGATCTGACCTTGTTCCATGTAAGTTGAACCTGACGAATCATCAGCCACGGCCATATTCCAGAACCATGGCAAAGCAATATTTCTTTGACCACGGGCATTGCCATCGTATACCGTAGTTAGTGCCCTTGTATCTTTTTTCCCTATCGGCTTGTATCAGTCACGAGTGCCCCTAGGAGCATTCAGCTGATTGAGAGCCCATCGAGCTTGGTTGTATGCCCAGAGAGCACTTTTCATATTGCGATCTGATCCTTGTACAGCATCGTAAGCCCGAGTCACATGTTTCTTCGATTTCTCAGCTCGAATTCTCTTCCGATAAAGGAATGACTTGTAACCGATGGCTTCCCATAAATGCTTCAGAGCGTTATTTGCCTGGGCCACTCTCAATTCTATCTCTACGCACCGGGCTTCTCCCAGTGATGTAGGGAGGAGGGCTGCTTGAAATGGGGAAGGTATGAGGATTTGTTGATGTTCAGCCAATCCATATCCCTGATCAGGCAAACTGGGTATGCTCGGTGCTGGGGTTTCCTCTTCATCACAATCACTCCAGTCATCATCATCCACAATATCCTCCGAGAGTGGTGGATCATGAATAGTTCCTTCGTTAATTTCCAAGTTGGGAAAATGGCCTTGACCGGCCTCGGAAAACTCTTCAAGTCACTTGGACAGCTTCTCTTGATGTTTCATTATCTCCAGCGTCTGATCGGCACTTGGACGACTGCCTTGAGCCTTCACAAAGGCGGCCAATTCAGCTCTGGATTGTTCAATGTTTGAATCTAGCAATATTTGACTTTACTCACTGGGCTTCCTGAATTTTGATACCACTGTTTACCCATCCAGTTAACCCCGGCTTGACCTTGCCTTCCTGTTCTTTAGTCATAAGTTTTAGCCAAATGCCCTTTTCGGTCTCGGCTGATTGAATGATTTTACAGCTGGCCTTTGTGATGGAAAACTTGGTCCTTACCTTCCTTGACCTTGACGTAATAGATGTCCATGGCGGAAAGGTCCTTTGCCCAGTTCAAATTTGCCGTTTTGATCTGTTGCTCCCATTCTTGAATCTGTTCCTTACTTGCCAAGGCACTTAATTCTTCAAGAGCCTGGAAGCTCTCAGAGAGCCTGAGTTTTGCTCGCTTCCACTTCTTGCAAAGGCTACTCACTTGACGTATATTAGCTTAACAGCAATGTAAAAGCAGTTGAAAATAGATACCCATATTGATCATTTTTTTCCAGTTGTTATCCAGCATGTGAGCATCCAATACCTCCGATCTATGGGCCAAAGTCATTGTCCGGGTGGTGCGGCCAACCTCGTTGAGAACAGCCCACAAAGTCTCCAATATCTCTCCATCTGTTTGACCAGCCCTGGGGATGAATGTTGGGGCAAATCGAGGAAAACATATTTCTTGGTGGCCATGGACATGGAATAAGCCGATCCTGGCTACCAATAACAAGTCCGGTCTGATCCAGAGGTGTTTGGCACCACGTTTTATCCGAGCCATCAAATTCACCATATACTGGCAGTTGATGTCATGGACAAATATAACCCTTTTTTCTTCACCGATCATGGTATTCTTCAGAGCCTGGCACAAGGCATAGTCCATGTTCATTTGCCTGTTTGGTAAATCAACGATTCAACCCGAGGATAACTTGCATACCGTTCTCCCTTTTGAAAATCTACCACCGAGCCCAGACAAAAGGTGCCATGTCGAAGGCAAGCAATGGCTCCAATTCCAGTTGCATCAAAACCTCGGTGAAATACATTCTTGTTGTTGACGGCATTGTGCTCATGACATGTCCTCAGCTGAAAGATTCAGACATTGGCCGACTCGAAGGATAAAAACTTACATCATTATCTTCAATTGCGTCCCGAAGGTGGCTCAAATAAGGTCCTCTTTGCGTCATGAAACTATCCCCATTTTTAAGCCAAACATTGCCTTTGGGCTGTGCCTGTTTTTGGTGGGCTGCTGTGAAATTGCCATCAGCTACAAATCCTCTGGTATACTTCCAGTTATCAGGATCATTGGGGTTTTTGTTCCAGTCATCAGGAAGGTTGACTCCTGGTTGTGGGCAGGTAGGGCAAAAAAAACCCATCTCCCCTGGCATTGGAGCCTTACCTTTGTGTCCAAATCCAAAAGTAGCCAGTTCAGTAAGATTACGGTATTGTCTACCAACCCTTATTAACTCATGATACCGGTTCTGTCAAATGTTTTGAGATGGGAGTATACCTCGGTACTTGAACAACATACCGGAATGGAATTCGGAAATGCAAAGTTGGTGATCCTTCTCAATTTGGAGTAGTAGTGGGTGGCTGATGTTTTACATTCCAGGTTTTCCAGCAGGTAGTCATCAAGGAGTTGGAAGGTAAATACGGTCTGGCAAGACTTGTAGGTGGATGGGTACAACCCAACCCGGAACAACTGTATGTCCTTGGCTGCTGCACCAGAACATCCACAGAAGACGATAGGCAGGTGATGCACACCGGAAGTATGGACGATGGTCATCACCCGGCCACCATTGTAAATACGGTCCGTTGGTTTGGGATCGGCCAAAGTGCTGGTAAGATCTTCCATGTCAAACCATTCCTCCTCGTCAATGTCAAGGTCGGCACTCAAGTTGCTGCTTCCATTTGGGCACCGATCACCTTCGTGACCAAGTCGGATAACCAAACCCACTTTCCACAGCCAGCTCGGCTCATAAAAGGTGCCAGTCCAATGTTCAATCCGGTGGAAAGGGTCCCTGCAGTGGGATCTTCGGCAACATTCTGCACAATATGCTGTGCCAGCAAAGCAATCGAGACATCGCCAATTTGCCTCCTTCTTGCAAGAGATGCAAACCCGCTTTGACGCTTTCCTATCCAAAAATTCATGGAGGTATAGATTACGCTTAGTCTCTTTCCAAACCCTCATGTAATCATTGGATGACTGATAGTGTATTAGTGTTCAGTATATGATTATATTGGAAGAGGAATTTCACATTTCTGGAAGCTTGATGATCCTCGAGAGGAGGAGCATATTCAATGTATGGCAAATCTTGGTGTTCCATTTCAATGTCTCTTTCCAGATGGCTGCAGTTACATTTTTTCACAGGGGAAAATGGCAGAGAGGGAATAGTGGAGGAGGGAAAAGACCTCCTTCCATTTTTTATAACAAGCCTGTTGAAGTGAGGATTAGCGATGTTGCTGTGTGCTCTTCTTCCCATGTTTGACTACTGTTGAAATGGCCAAAAGATATAATGATGATGTGTAGTGGGAATGAGGAAAATGTGGGTGTAGCGGGAAAGAGGAAAATGTGGCCGTCAAATAGCAAACGCAAACATTCATAACAGATTTGCATTTCCAGCTAGGTAAAAATTCCTGGAGTTTGTCAAATGTTTTCCACCTTACGACAGACCAACTCTACAATTTATGTAAGAAGGGAGGCCAATGTGAAGAGACTCACTCTGGAGCCAATGTGAGGAGACTCGCTTCATATTTGATCCAACCAGTCAGGCTGTTGTATCCTTAAAAAGTTGGCAGTAAGACTGGGATGAGCACACACCCAAGCCATAAAAGCCAGCCAGCAGGACTGGATAATAGTCAATTAGAAACACAATCTCATATTTCATACACTTTAATGCATACTCTTTAACGGCGGCTTCTTGTGAACTGTTAATTTTTATCACCTTCAATATGACTGCAAAATATCAAGATCTGTATGTTGCCGGCAGCCTCATCATACATTGGTATAAAGGTAGCTTCAATATATACCACCATCATTGCCTTACCAGTTTAGTTACTTAGATGGACCAATGATAATTACAGTCAGACATAATTACAGTAATGACAGATGCACTTAATTACAGAGGAAGCTAATTAAGGTTTTGTTCCGTGATGCGATCATAACTGTTCCGCTATTTAAGCTATTTAAGGTTATTAAGGTCTGTTCTTTTCCGTTTCGTGTTCGATCTTCCGTGCCGATCAGTTATGTATATTTTTGATAGATGATATATAAAGTAATTCCCTTTCCCAAATCAGGGGTGATTGTTTGTTCATTGTGTTTGGTATGAGTTGTTCCTTCTCCCTCTTTGCTCCCGACTACCATTTTCCATCTACCTCTTTGCTCCCAAATACCCATTAATTATATCATTATGAGTACTCATTCTCAATCCCCTGAACCATCTGCCCCACTTTCCAGTCAAACCAAGCACCATGGGTCCGGGAGGCATTGGTCCGATGAAGAAAGTGCTCTGTTGGAAAAACATCAGGAGGAGTATAGAGACACCAATGACGCTGCTCACACCGAGATATTTTCTCGAGTTTTGCAAGACATGCTCGACATACTCCCCAATGGAAAATTGTTCAAGAAGGAAGAAAGATCAGCTGTTAAAAAAGTAAGTACTTTTTCCAGAGGCCCTCTGATTGATTCCTGACGGACTTGTAGGATATTAAAGAGTGGTTTGCCCAGTACAGTCGTAAGAGAAGTCAGAAAATGCCGAGGATGGGAAAGTCGTGGCACGCCCGGCGTGTGTTCCAGCATGAGAACAAGGACGCCATCAATACCGAAGCGAAAAGGCTTTGTGCCAAAGCCATTGAAGAGGGACAAAAGAGGCCTAAAGGTGGAGATCCCACTCATTTTGATTTTCGGGAGCGGGTCGTGACTCAAATGATGGGAAAACTGAAGAAAAGGGAGAAAGACGTACTACAGAGGACAGCCGAGGAGTACAACAAGAAGGGAGTTGACCCAGAACTCAAGTCCAAGTAAGTTAATTTTCAGTATTTCAAAGGTGGTTTATCTGGACCTTTGTTCGACTGGCTGTAAAGAACTGCACAGCTCGGATGCATGCATTTTCCAAGGAACTTTATGATACAATGGGTGTCTGGGTCTTTATCTTTGGATGTTATCTGAAGCCCGATGGTACATTGGATGTCTCAACCTACGACTTCAATCAAGAACTCGGCAATGGGAAAGACTTTATTGATAACCATAGCCAGACTTTCCATGAGGAAGGAATATCGGTATCTTCTTGGAGAGCACACAATGAAGAATACTATGGGTTGGAGGATCTTGCTTCGGCCGAAGGAGGACACCGGTCCCAGGGTGCTATGACTTTGGAGAAGAACCTATACCTGGAACCTATTCTACCCGATCCATCGAAACCACCTGTTAAAACTTCTCGTGATATTCAAATTTGGAGGCTGAATGTTCTTTGTGCATTTGTCAACGAGGTCTTATCAGTGCCCCCCTAATTCCTGCAGGATTCCAGTCATTCCTGTGGATTCCTGTGGATTCCGGAGGAGTGAAATTTAGCAGGGAGGCCTGCTATTTTCATCATTCCGGTGCTTTACCATTCCGGCGGAATTTTGGCATTCCAGAATTGTGACCGGAATGGTCCCCGGATTGGCAAAAACGGAATGCAACTGGAATCCGGTTTGTTTGGCACATGCCCATTGCCAAACAATTGTTTGTTTGGCAACGGCTTTCACGCTCATCCAAACACAACCCTCTCTCCTCCCACCACCACCGTCGTCGCTCCACGTAACCGCCCCCCTCACGTTGTGAGTGCCCGCCATGGGCTAAGCGATGTGAGGGGGCTCACATCGACCACCACACCGCTCACCCAAGATCCATCAACGTCGCCAACACGACAACGCTGTGCCACGTCACCACGGCACACAAACCAGGTAAGCACCCACAACCCCCTCTCCTCCCTCGTTTCTCAACACGAAAACGAGGTGCCACGTCGCTGACTGCGACGTGGCACCAAAACGACGGCAACAGGTCTCACACCCCATGACGGCACCACCCCAGCACTCCGGAAACAACGTCCAGCACTCCGGAAACAACGTCCAGCGCCCACACGAAACACAACGGCACCACCTCGCCCACGAAAACACCCCACCCAGCACCCACGACAGTGCACAACGGCACACCGCGTCCACGAAAACTCCCCACCGCCCACGACCGATGGAGATGGTCGCTGAAGCTCTCCAGTTTTGGTATGAACGTCAAGAACAACACAAAATCACCTTTCAATTTAAATCCTTTCTTGAGGGGAAAGTGCTGCTGGAAGCACCTCCACGAAGGAAAATTAAAGTTCACGTTCCTAAACCTCAAGTTCATAGTATTGGGAAGGGCAAGAAGCCTGGCAGAAGCAAGGGTCAAAGGAGAGGCTGCACTAGTATCTACCCCTTTTATGATAAAATACAGGCAAGTGCCTGCACACCGACATCCACACTGCCTAATGAATTTATGAAATGAGAAGAGTAGGCAAAACTTATGAAATGTATTTCATTTCCTTACCAGTGCTTCTCATGACTATTTCATAACTGTCCTGAGACATATTTCAATACTACTTCATTGCAATTTCATTACTGCCTGGCCTTCCATTTCATTGTCTATCCAGCATTGTTTCATTGCTATTTCATTCTTGCCTGACTTTTAATTTCATTGCCTACCCAGCCTTATTTTATTGCCTTTTCATATCCTTGCCTGGGCTACTTCATATTCATTTCAGATCCCTGCCTGGGCAGTCTCATATCCCTGCCTGGGCGATTTCATATCCTTGCCTGAGCAATCTCATATCCCTGCCTGGGCTACTTCATATTCATTTCATTTCTTGCCTGAGGCAATTTCATATCCCTGCCTGGGTAATTTCATATCCCTGCCTGGGCAATCTCATATCCCTGCCTGGGCAATTTCATATCCTTGCCTGGGCAATCTCATATCCCTGCCTGGGCTACTTCATATTCATTTCATTTCTTGCCTGAGGCAATTTCATATCCCTGCCTGGGCAATTTCATATCTATTTCATTCCCTGCCTTGGGCTATTTCATATCCTTGCCTTTGCAATCTCATATCCCTGCCTGGGATATTTCATACCTACCCTACTGCATTTATCATTGCCCCCTCAGAATGTCAGGCACTGCCTTCAGGGTCCATTTCAGGGTCCATCCCAAAGAGGAAACATCACCTGGTTTGACCAAAAGTGAAGAAAACCAAGAGGAGAATGTTTTTACCTATCAGGGTCCATATAATGGGATGTTGGGATGATGGTCACATGACCAATTACCAAAAATGGTCAAAAATGAAAGTTGTAGCCCTACACTATAGCTTCCCGAATCTGTTTGAATTATATTCTGAAGTGCTCCCATTGTGAAGATATGAGGTAACAAGGTTTACTGATAGACTACAAAAGACCACAAAAGTCAAAAAGGCAAGGATATGAAATAGCCCAAGGCAGGGAATGAAATAGATATGAAATTGCCCAGGCAGGGATATGAAATTGCCTCAGGCAAGAAATGAAATGAATATGAAGTAGCCCAGGCAGGGATATGAGATTGCCCAGGCAAGGATATGAAATTGCCCAGGCACCCCTGGCTGTAGTCGTTGCCCTAATCAACCACATTATTGCACTTAGTCCCTTGCCATAAACCCTGCATTCTAGCTAGGGGTCTGCAGCATGCATTGACACCCTGGGTTTGGTCTAGGATTTGTTGGGGTGGGCTTTTGGTAAACTGCACAGTTCAAATTTTGAGGAGATATATATGTCCTACAGCTTTGTTTTTCTAGAAAGAACACCTGAAACTTTACCAAATATATATTTGATAATGTTCTGACACTCTTACATAGTTTCCCTCTGTCAAATCTGGCTGAAATAGGCTGGATGCGACAAATCCATTTCGGATGACCTTGGGCCTTTTGATGCCATTGGTACACAATTGTCAACAATGTACAGTTTGAATTCTGAAGAGATATTTATGCTTTACAACTTTGTTTCTCCTAGAAAAAAATTGTGAAACTTTACCAAATATATGTTTTATAATGTCCTGACACTCCTAGATAATTTCCATCCACCAAATTTGACCGAAATAGCTGGATGCGACAAACCAATTTTGGATGACTTTGGGGTCTTAGACGCTGTTGGTAAACAAATGTAAACAAGATTGAATTCAAGTGGAAAAAAATGGTAGCTACTCTACAACATGACATACAGGGAGATAAAAGCACTAAAAAGGATCCAATACGGAATCTGAATATACATAGTAAAAAAAATGGGTACACAGCTCTCAAGACCTCGTGAAAAAAGAGTATGCCCTCCTCAAATTCGGTGTACCCTCGACTCAGCTGTATGCTCACCGCTTGTTGTCCTGCGTTGTCATCACGTCGTTGTTGTCCTACCTCGTGGTCGCGTCGTAATTGTCCTGCAATGTCACCGCTTTGTCCTGGGCATCGTAGCGCCGTCGTCGTTGCCCTGTTCCGTGTTTTGTCGCGTTGTCGTTGTCCTGTGTCATCGTCAACCTCCTGTGTTGTCCGTAATCATGTTGGTCATCTGTTGTGCTGTGTAGGTCCAATGACATTGAACGATGTATCGGTCATTGTACATCATTTGCTTGGATGGAGTGGGGAGGATGGCGTCAGCATGGCATGACCCTCTGGGCGTTGTTCGTTTGGTTGCCACGTCGCTGAAGCAACGTGGTACCTGGGCTCTGCATGTGATTATGGGAATGCGAGAGAGGGGATATGTGAACTCACCGGGGCAGCATGTAGGCTGTCCTAGGTGTCATACCGCCGTCCTGTTTCCATGTCGTCGTTGTCCGCTGACGTTGTCCTGTGTTGTTGTTGTTGTTGTTCGCTGTCGTCGTCCCGTGTTGTCATTGTCGTCATCCTCCCATGTCAGTACCGGTGTCCTGTTCCCATGTTGTTGTCGTCGCCGTGTGGTTGCCGCCCTACGCTGTAGTCACGTACTTGTCGTCTTACAAGGTTAGCATGTCGTCACTGCCCTAGGCGTAGTACCGTCCTGTTTTCATGTCTCGTCGTTGTTTGGTGACACCAACCCGGGTCGTCGTGTTGTCCTTTCGTGTTGGCCGTCCGTTGTCATGATGGCCATCCGTTGTTGTGTTGGCCGTCCGTTGTCGCGATGGCCATCCATTGTCATGTTGTTCGTCCGTTTTTGTGTTGGCCGTCCGTTGACGTGCTGGGTGGGTCCGATGATGACAAACAACAAATGTGCGTTGTTCGTCATTCGGTTGCCACGTCGCTGACAGCGGCGTGGCACCTGGGTCGTGTGTGTGACTATGGGAATGCGAGGGAGGGAATATGTCAGCTCACCTGGGTTGGTGACGCTGGTAATGGGCCAATCGTCGCCCTTGTGGTGGTGATGCTGGGCACTCGTCGTCGTCTGTGGGTAGTGAGCGTGTGTGATCCGTTGTTGTCCGCTGGTGGTGGTGGCGGGCAGTCGCAGCTGATGGTGGATCGTTGTTGTTGTCGGGTCTTGGCGTATGTGCATCGTCGTCCTGAAAGATAGATGTGGCACGCTCAAAGGGATCGTTGGCGTGCCACGTCAACCATCTGGTGGTAGCACCGTTGATATGGAAGAACTGTTAGATATGATGTATACACCTGTAGGATAAACTCACGACTGTAAAATCTGCGCCTAGCGAACTTCCCCAGTCCCCTTCCCTTCGAAATTGTGCAAATGTCGAGAGTCAATAAACAATGACTCCCGGGTGACCTTGGATTTGAAAGAGGGTTGATCGAGTGGCGCTGGAGCGATGGGTGAGTCGATTGTTGAACGAGAGGGATGATGGAGTAGCGGACGTGGCATGTTCAACCAGCCATCAACAGCGCTCGGCATTTTCCGAGCGCTGAAGGAGCGCTGCACGCACTGGCTCACGCACTCGTTATTGAGGGGAAAGAAATAAGGAAAAATGTGATTGAAGGTTCTAAGGAGTAGTACTAACATTTGAGATAGGTAGCAATATGTATTTACTGGGCAGGGAGTAAAAGTCAGACGAATTGCAATCCACACCTGAGTTTCCGGCACTTTCAGTTGCTTTATTGTGAACCTCTGCACCTAATCCCATTACCTGTATCCACACAACCCTCTGATTTCTATGAAACTTTGTGAATCTGTTTGAGTTTTCATTCTGAAGATATTCATGTAAATTTCTTGGCCATTGGATGATTTTTGTGAACACAGTATAGTTTATATCAGACAAAATACACTCTGTTCAAGGACTCTCACAACAAATCCTTCATTATCAGAGTGAATACAGCCCTCAAGAATTTTGTACTGGTATCCACCTTTAGCTGAGATTATGTGAATTTGATTCCTTGAGTATTAGGCAAGCAGAGAAAGGTTTGCCAACACAATTGTATGTTTTAAAACCCTCCTGACAATTGAAAAATGGGAACAAGACTTTCAGGTGTGTTATTTCACTCAAAACTTAACAATGCCTGTCCCAATATTGTTTCACTTATGCTGTAGGTATTAGTAGGCTATAGCTGGCAGGTTTTAAATTACAAGTTGCTGGAATGATATGTTTTTTATCTTAAAAAACAGAGATACTCCTTTCTCTTCAACTTTTAGCCAACTTCTGATAAAAGTTCAAGGTAAAAGCTGTAAATTAATCATGTTAAGATGTATTACTATTGTTGGGGTAATGTTCCCTTCCTCTCCTTGCTCAATTTCAGTTGTTTTTCCGATGTTTTCAATGTGTTTGAGAAGTTTGCAACTGTTTGTCTAAAGCTTCAGGACACATCATCCAAGTTGACCACATCACATCCATCCACTTGCGAGGGTGCCATGAACGTGAAACATGAAAAATCGGGCTGTATTCTACTTGTAGAGTACCAGAATGTCTATGTTTCATTAAATTTAGGTGTAAAGAATGAATAGTGTGCCTTTTGAGGATCTGGACACAGGGAGGCAACTATTTGCGACTATTTGGCAATGCCTTTGGCAACGTCATCCAGCTGGAATCTGAGCCATCCATCCAAATGCAGCTCAATTAAAATACCAAAAGTCATTTTATATGTCAAAAACAAGTTGCAACTGAGGAAATATGAACTTGTTACAATCAATAATATGGATGACACCCTCCAAAATGCATTTCCATGATTTTCCGGTCAAAAGCTTGCTTTGTTGACAATTGTTTGTTACCTGGAAAAGGTCATCTGGAACATGACTTGTGCATCCATCATCTCCACATCTCTGATAGAGGCGGAAATTTTTGGAAAAAATCCGAAATATATTTCTACATCACTTGGTAACTCTGAGTAGCTGTAACACTAAATTTGAAGGAGAAAAATGAGAATTATCACAACTGAAATATTCTGGTGAAATGCAGCTTTTTCAGAGGGATTTTGACATGGAAAAAACATATGTGGATGCTCTTTTGGCAAGAGAAACATACACAGGATACAGGAAAACATACCAGTCATCAATATTGATCCAGGATGTACCATTTCTAAGAATTTTATATCATAAAACATATCTGAGCTATATTTAGATTTGTTATACATCACAAACATGCTGGATCCAAAAATAGAACAGATTTCAAACATTAGGAAGCCATTTTTGATTTTTCTATCATATCTGATGCCAGATATTGATATTTCACCCAAAAAAACCAAATTTTTGCCCCCTGGAGTGATTTTTTAAAAGCAAGTGGAATGCAAGCAAAAATAGGCAAAGGACATTGTACATCAGTTGGCAAATGGTGTGCAAGGCAATTGCACACCTCGTAGGGCTAGGACTACATCTATGGCTGCTTTTGCCTGGTCGACTGGAGACCCGTCGACGGAGTTGTAGATATATTGGCCCTCATTGATAGAGGGCAGGAGTCCATCGAAGGAGGGGGAGTGACGTTGCATGTCGTTGGATGGGGTTGAATATCCCGCGGCTGCGTCGTCCGGACCTTTTTCTAGACCCTGCAGTTGTTAAGTGACTAATTTCAATAGAGAGAACTCCAAACTTACTGGGAGTTTCTCCAGCATGACCTGGTCGTACACTCGTGTCCCTCGACTTCTGCTCCATGACAATGACGTCGGCCTCCATGGACTGCCGTGTTGATGCCCGTGTAACTCGGAGAGCGACCCCCTGATCGTCTTTGGCAGCTGGAACGATCACATCCACCAAGGACTTCTCAGGGATCTGGTTGGGTCCAGTGTACCGCTTGTTGGCGTAGACGGTGGTTTTGTCCGCGGGGATCAGATTCGCGGCATCGGTCTTGGCAGGGGGAGGTTTTGCGGAAGCCTTGGTTGCCCGAGGTTGAGGACGAGTTTCCTTCGCTGGGGGTGCTTTGCCAGCAGTCGCTGCAGCAGCCTTCGGCAGAGCTTTGACAGGTGGGAGGAGGACGATGGGGACTGATAACTCCCGCTCGCAAGTCTTCTTCGAGGTGGACTTTTTGGGCATGGGATTGGAGGTGAGTCGATTCCCAGAGGTGCCGGGGGTGTCCACAAAGCTACAGCCAATTTTCTTCGCCCGGCATCGTTCACAAGCGCTTCCCTTTGCTCGTCCCAGTACTTTACCCTCCCCCATGAGTTCCGGCGGACTCCGACGGACTCCCATAGAATGTCGGAATTCCATCTGGAGTCCGCCGGAATGGTAGGAATCTCAAATTCCAGTGGATTCCGCCGGATTCTGAATGGAATTCCAATGGATTCCACCGGATTCTGAATGGAATTCCAATGGATTCTGCTGGATTCTGAATGGAATTCCAATGGATTCTGCTGGATTCTGAATGGAGTTCCAATGGATTCCGCTGGAATCTGAATGGAATTCCAATGGATTCCGCCGGAATCTGAATGGAATTCCAGAAGACTGATTAGTGCTGATCAGAACTGAGGTAGAGGTCAGGTGACTTGAGCTGTATTTATTGAAGTCAGAAATTCAAACCTCCTTATAAAATTCACAAATTCACAAGTGATTTAGATCAAATAATGATGTATTTCAATTATAATACAAAATATATTTAACTACATACAGTGCATACTAGAGAGGGAGGGGATGGGCAAGGAAGGGGCAGGAAATGAGGAGGGAAGGGGGAAGGGAAAAGGAAGGGGGGGGAAGGGAAAAGGGAAAAGGAAGGGGGGGGGGAAGAGAAAAGGGAAAAAGAAGGGGGGAAGGGAAAAGAGAAAAAGAAGGGGGGAGGGAAAAGGGAAAAAGAAGGGGGGAAGGGAAAAGGGAAAAGGGAAAGGAAGGGGGGAAGGGAAAAGGGAAAAGGAAGGGGGGAAGGGAAAAGGAAAAAAGAAGAGGGGAAGGGAAAAGGGAAAAGGAAGGGGGGAAGGGTAAAGGGTAAAGGAAGGGGGGAAGGGAAAAGGGAAAAGGAAGAGGGGGGCACAAGAAATAGGGGATTGACAAGGGAAGGGGGATGGAAAAGGGAAGGGGGAGGGAAAAGGGAAGGGAAAGGGAAGAGGGAGGGGAGGGACAGGGAAGGGGGAGGACAAAGGAAGGGGGAGGACAAAGGAAGGGGGAGGGAAAAGGAAAGGGGAGGGAATAGGAAGGAGGAGGGAATAGGAAGGGGGGAGGGAAAAGGGAGGGGGCTCGTCGTCGTCCGTTGACGTGTCGCCGTCGTCCTCGTCGTCGTCCGTTGACGTGCGGCCGTCTCGTCATCGCTGACGTGTCGTCCGTCGACGTGTCGTGTCGTCGTCCTCGTCCGTCGTCGTCGTCGTCGTCGTCGTCCGTTGATGTGTCGTCGTCGTCGTCCGTCGTCCTCGTCCGTTGACGTGTCGTCCTCGTCGTCGCTGACGTGTCGTGCGTGGTCGTCGTGTGTTGACGTGACGCGTTGTCGTCGTCCGTCGTCGTCGTACGTTGACGTGTCGTCCGTCGTCGTTGTGCGTTGACGTGTCGTCCGTCGTCGTCGTACGTTGACGTGTCGTCCGTCGTCGTTGTGCGTTGACGTGTCGTCCGTCGTCGTCGTGCGTTGACGTGTCGTCGTCCGTCGTCGTGTGGCCGGCCTCGTCGTCGCTGACGTGTCGTCGTCCGTCGTCGTCGTCGTGTCGTCGTGTCGTCGTCCATCGTCGTCGTCGTCGTCGTTGTCCGCTGGCGTGGGCGTGATTCGAGGTGACCGCGCTGGTCGCGGCGACGGTGGTGGTGGTTGTGGTTATGGTTGTGGTTGTGGTTGACAGCAAAACAGAGATGCTGATGGTGACGTCGGCAAATGCCGTGACTCGTTTAGGAAGGTGGGCGTGAGGGTGGGTTATATAGAATAAATGTTTGTAGAATTCTAATGGCCGTATGGTGTAGTGGAAATATTGCTGCTTGGACTTCACGTGACACTTCCCGAGCCTAGAGTTCAATCCTTATGCATCCACTTATTTTTTTATATATTATAATAACAACAACAAATATTGGAATTCATTGGAATCTCTCGGAATCTGTTGGAATTTGACTGGAATATACTTTCCATTGGAATTCCATGGAATCTGGTTGGAATTCCAATGGATTCCAATGGAAACTGTTCCGGGAGGCTCCCGGATTCCGACCATTTCCACCAGATTCCGTCGGATTCCATTGGAATTTCTGTGGAATTGGAAACCAGAATGGCTGAGGCTCCAGCCAACTAGTTTCCGTCGGAATTCCATGGAATTCCGACATTCCACTTGGAATCCGCTGGAATCCGCCGGAACTCATGGGGGATGGTAAAGACCTCGCTCGTCCATTTATTCCATTGATCACTCTTTGAAGGTGTCACTCACCCTCTGCTGTATGCCAGGATGGCGTATAAGGTCTTGTATAGGGAATACGAGGAAGCACAGAATACAAGGAAGCGCAGAATACGAGGAAGTGCAGAATACAAGGAAGCGCGGAATACAAGGAAGCACGGAGGGCCAGCGACTTTTGGCTCGACATCCGCGCTGTTCAACTTCAGTCAAAGGCCGTGAGTGAGGCCGTTCAATTCAAGCGCTCTGGTGAAAGCTTGGATTGTGCAGATGGTTTTGATTACACTCCGTAGTTTTACATACATATATTACAAATTATTGTGAATTGGAATTACGAGGGGGTCTGAGTCTGGAGGTTGAAGTGCTTCATTGGGGCGACATGACGGCCGCAACCGCCATCAGTGGTCCTTGATTCCGCAGCTTTTGAATTGACAGCCGTGGAATGACAGCGGAGCTCTTACAGTTTTGCGGATACTTTGGCCCGCGTATGTTTTTCAGTATTCGCGGAGCTATGAACGCTATGAAGCGGATACCTTTGTCAGTATTTTTAACACCCCGGAGGCCTTATGGCTGTCAAACCATTGTCAGCTTGCGCAGCTGTTTTGACGCGGTCTAAGTTCGAGCGCATGAGGCCCAACATTGAGCTATACTGTAGATTATACTTTGGCTACCTATGGCACCATGGATTATGGCAATATGTACGTGTGATGGATACCCATTGGGCCACACATTCATCCCATATGCTGGATATGACAATGGGCCCCAGGTATGGACCCATAGTGTCCATGTGTATTGGGCCCATTGGGGTAGCCTTATGACTTATTGGGACAATTGTCAATTTCTATTATTATGGTACTATAGTGACATCTATGTATACTTGTGCTTGAACTTGCCCAACCCACAGTTCATAATGTCTACCAACCCTAAAGCTCTGCCGCCAGTTCAGAATGAGGTCCCCTTTGAACCGAGACATGGTCCCCGACCCGAGATCAACCCCGCGCCTGGCCAGGCTCCAGCAGCTAGATTCCACCCAGCGCAACCTCCCAGGTGACTCCCTTGCCCTCATCCGTTGGCTTTATGAAGGGAGTGCCCAAGGACGACGACGCCAATGGCGACAAAAGAAGATGGTGTTACTGTGGCCGCCAAAGTGACACTAATGAAGACGTGGTGAGTGGCTCATCCCTTTGGACCGCAACATCACTAACCGTTGGTGACGTCTCTGAGGGTGTTGGCATGAGTGGGAGCATCACCTACCAAATAAGGATTAGTTGTGAACATTTGGATTGACCGAACCACTCGGTGGAGTCGCGATGAGTGGGACTACCCATAATTGTGAGAAGCTAGCGAGAGTGTGCAGTGACAGGAGAACTTACGCGAGGACATTGCAGACAACAGTGGACAAAGGAAACAAAAAAAGCGAAATAGCAATGATGGAAGAGGTTCAAAATCAGGGATGGTACAGTTTATATATGCACAAACTGTACAGCTGTTCGGCGATCTCCGTCAGCCACCTTCCACCCAAAAATGGCAGCATAATGCCAATGTAAAGCACTAGAGAAGTCACAGTGCATTGTGTAGACAGACTCCAGAACCTATTCTACACAAGCTATTACAGACACGTTATCATAGTGGGATCAGTCATATTTAACGGAAAGAAATTAGCCTCCATGGTTTATTTTAAGATTGAGAAACCAACGAGAAACCAAACTGGCAAACCCTACTGTCATGTGACCATTACCGGGTCACTCAGAGCTTCGCATCCACTGGGGTAGACTGTTCTACGTAGACTGATGGTGGACTCGGCCTTTTCCGACTTTCCACCAACCTCATATAAACAGCTCATCGATCCCTGACCATGTTATCTAGACATGTCCCTGAACCCGCCCACCTTCGTCGCTCCTTCGGCGTTCGCCCGGGCTCTGGTGCCATGTCTGGGACACCTTATGTCCATATATAGACATAATTTATGTCTATATTGAGACATGTCCAAAAAAAGACATAAGGTCGTCCAAAAACAGACATAAGCCATCAATCTCACACCCACACCCAAATAGGCAGCTGCTCAAGTAGTTGACCTCCTACTGGCTTTTCTCCCTGTGCTATGCGCTGCAGGCCAGAAAAATATTTGAATAGCTCACTTACCTTGTGGGAAATTATAGGATACACTAATATGAACCCAGAATGCATTTTTAAATCATTGAAAAGAGAATTTGTGCTGTTCTGAGCATAAAGTCAGTTCCACTTAATACAATTGCTCATCAAAGTATGTGTTGATGCTAGTAGAATATCTCAGAGTATGTGGAAGCACTTTACATGCACTTCTTCCTCCTAATGGCAGGTTGTTGCATTAAAGGCAACAAAAAGACAGAATCAATGGGTAAAAAAATGTCGTACTGCTTTAAAAATGCTGATACAGGAGTGCTGGTATGTTGTTAATATTTCCTCACATATTCTTGACCTTCATATAAAAAGAATTTGTAACAATCTCAAGATCTGGACTGTGTTGCAATAAATCTATCTAAAGTTGACAATAAATCTGTCACAATTGAACAACCCTTGCTGTTGATCTATAATTCTACATATATAATCAGTGTAAAGTATCCTGCTTCTTACATGCACATTTTTGAAAGGAATTGAAACATTCTCAGCTGTTCCAGACATGACACTAGAGCCATCATTATTCCTGTTCATTGTAATTTTCAGTACTTTATCCTTGTTAGCTCAACATGAGGAACTCAAACATAAATCTGCTGTGCAATTAATCTGAGCTTTTGGCATAATCCCCTGTCTTGTGGTTTCATGTGTAAAAATGCATCCTGATGGGAAGACTCACTCATAATATCTAACCTTTTTCCTCATAGTTGTGGCCCCTGATAGGTGCCTGCCCCATTTTTAAATGGTAGATAGGGAGAGGAGATATTTCAC